CTGGACTCGATGACCTCTTGAGGTCCCTTCCAGTCCTATTATTCTATGATTCTATGATAGTAGTCCAGTCTGGAGGGGACAACTGCCATCCTACTACACTTGCTATGGGCCTCAGAGCTGTTTAGTGCCATTTCCTTGGTTCAAAAGAATTACTCTAGAATCTGAAAGTCACAGAAGCACAACAGTTGTGCATGTGCATATATATTATTGTAAACTGCATTGAATTATAAGATCTTTAGGGCTGGAGCTGGGTTGTTTTTTGGTTTACACTGCACCTAGTACAATAGGGTCTTGGTCTGTGATTGTACAGATCATTAATAATGTTAGTCTTTGCCCCCCCCCCTCTTGTGATGGTTCCTCCCCATGCTTTTTGAAATTGGCTTATGAATGTAAATATGCTTAGCACGAAGATGCTTTGGACAAAACATCTCATGTGATAAGGATGTTAAAATTAGATTAACCAGCTAATTGACTAGTGGATGCCATTTGCATTGGCTATTCAATTAGTTGAAAAGGGCACCTCTGCCTTTGAAATGTAGCAAGAGCCCTGCCAGCTCTTGCTATAGTTCGTAAGCGAAGAGCACACAGAGAGTCCCCCAAGCAGTCCCGCACTGGCCCAATGCTCCCTGCTTTTGAAATGTACAAAAGCCTGGGGCTCTTGGACATTTCAAAAGCAAGGTGCACAGGGCCAGTGGGAGACTGCTTAAGTTCCCCTCTTGCCCTGTGCTCACCCTTTGTGCTTAGCTTTTTAAATGTACAAGAGCCCTGGGGGTGCGTGCCTGTACATTTCAAAAGCAGGGAAAAGGGACTGGGGGGGGACTGCTTGAGTCCCCTACTCGCCCTCTTCTCCCACAGTGCTTCTGCTTTTCAAAGGTGGAAGCGCTGTCAGTTCCCCACTGAGCCCCTGCCTCCCCCTGTCCGCCCTGGAGACAGTGCCGGGGGGAACTGGCTTTTAAGCCAGCTCCCTCCAGGACAGGCTCCTGCTCCTCGCCTTGCTGCCTCTCTTTTATAGAGGCAGCAGGTCGGGGCGGCGGAGGGGATTAGTCGAGTTGACTCTCCGATGCACACAGGCTTGTCGGATAGTCAACTAGTCGCTTACATCCCTATCATGTAACCTATCAATTTTAATGTTACAATCTGCTGGATCTGTAGATCTTATTTTGGGGCACGTATCATTCTTATATGTAAAGTTAGAAATGTAAAGTGTGAGATGAGCATATTTAAAAATATAAACAATGAGCACATCAGTGGTGGTCCCGAATCCATAATGACTGAGCAGTCAACTTAATGACTTATAAACAGCCTTGATTGTCCTGTAAGTCCAAGGGTGATTGGATTGGTAAGACATGTGACCATCCCACTTAGTACTGGATTCCATTTTGGACAGGTAATTTTCCATGGAAAGGGGGATGTAGAATAAAGGATTTCTGCCCAGGAAAGTCTATTTAAGCAATGGAAGGCTATCAGTCCCTTTGTCCTCGGCTGGCTGGGGAACAAAGACAACTGGAGACCCAAGTCAGAATAGATTATCTTTGACCTGAAGGTTTGCCTGAAATAAGAACAGTTTTAGGGTAAGAAATGATTTGAAAAATATATTAACATATTAGACCTGGCTAGGCATTTTCTTTTCATTTTAATTCTGTAACTTACTTTGATCTGATAGTTTTCACCTGCAAACACTTAAATTCTACTCTTTGTACTTATTAAAAATACTTTTGTTTACTATCAACTCCAGTGTAGATAATTGTTACCTGGGGGGAATAGTGTGCATATCCTTCCTCCTGATAAAGTTTGCCTGAATGAGCTTTCATTGTGTAAAACTCTTACACACAGAGAGATGGATTTATTTGGGGTTTTGATCCAATTTGGGGGTTGGTTTACTGGGTGCTGTGCCCTAGAACTGTATTCTCCCAGAGTTGAAGTGGTTCAGTATGTATATTGCTTTTCCGCATGGGCGGTTATGCCAGTTCTGTGCCCTATCTGGGCTGCGGGGAACCAGAGAATCAGCAGGACAGAGTGGTAAGGAGCCCCAGAGAGCAAGAAAGCAAATATCAGTGGCATAATCAGCACAATGGAGAACAATCTTAAGGGTCATCTGTGACTGCAAGCTGTCACACCCCTCTAGTGGTGGGTTTACATAGAGTCTAGAATTTACTATACCTTTTGGCTAATGGAGGTTTGTTTTTTGTTTTTTAGCTTAAATGGAAGATGCTTATAATGGAAAAGTTCTGGGGATGGGGTTATAAAACATGTTGTTTATCCTTTAGAACTCGGATGCATTGGAGGTGCTTCTGCAGTCAATGGATTATATTGAAAGTTTCTTCAGTCAGACTGAAAGTAAAATGGAGTAGTGACAGCTCAACTTGGGTCTTTACTCAGAGCTCTACCAATTATGGTGTACTGTAACTAGAACAGTCACATCTACACAGCTGTAAGGCAGCAGAAGATGGAATGAAAGAGGGCTGCCACTACCAGTAGATAGTCAGTCATAATTACAGGGCTGGCTATTAGCGAGTCCTAGGTCTACAATTACCGGTAGCAACAACCGTTAACAAAAAGTGTGCACTGTTGGCTAGAGAAAGTATTGGGCCTCTAGTCCATATCCCTAGTGACCTAGCACTGTGTGTTAGGGGAGGCATTTCATTAGTCTGAACTGGATCCCAAGAGTGTGAATCCTTGCATTATATTAATGTACATAACATAAATGTTGTAGCAATGATGGTAAATATTCTTAACAAAGATGTACAAAAGAAGCTTGACGTGTACAGTGTGAATTTTAGGTGATTTTATTCCATTCTTATTTCACAACACTCATTTTAAAAATGAATTTTGGTACTGAATGAAATACTATCAAGAAGACTGGGTAATAAATGCTGAGTTATTGAACAGACATTGATTGTCCCCAGAAGTTTATTGTAAATGAAACAGCACTTACTGTTCTTTGTTATTCCTGGAATTGTTACTATAATTGGAAACGAGTTATGAGTTAAGTGTAGCAGAAGAGCAGTATGTTGAAAAGCAATAGTTCTGACTTATTATGAGATTTACAAGAAGCCAGACTAGACTTTTTATTTTCCTTTTGCATTTTAAAGTTTCAGTATAATTTTTATGATTCGTTTATATATATATATATATATATATACTTGTCAGAACTTTTAATGTTTTGGCTTCGTAAGCATGTTAAAATAGAGTATGCCATGGTTATGAAGGACTCTTACCATAAAGGGCACTTTTTTCATTAGTTAACTTGCCATACAAGGATTTTAATATTTAAATTCTATCTTTCCACACAGAAATAATTATTGGCTTCTTTGCATGTCTAGTAATCTTCTCTATTTATTTTCCTTATCAAAGCCTTGTTGTTAGTCAGGGATTTGTCTGGAAACTCTAATTAGGAATTATCAGGGTTTGTGAGTGGAAGGTGCATGTGTACTAAATTGCCATCTTGTATATTTATACTGTATTTGGTAGTATTCACAATTTGCTAGCCATTTCTAAAACAAAGGAAGAGATAGAATGTCTGGCTTGCTCTCTCAGATGTGCATTGGAACTAAGCTGAAAGGAATTCCAAACTACATTAAAGTTTGTGGTGTAGGCTTGAGCTCTAATACTCCTGCAGCAAAAATAATGATCTTTTAGCTCAAGCGCACATTTAGAGGAAATGCAGGACACAAGTGGGAGGATCCGCTTATGGCCAGCACTCTGGTTATTGGTGTGAGATGGGAAACAGAAGTCGGTTACTTTGAGGAGGGGAGTTGTTTTGTTCAAATGCTGAAGTTGCCTTTGGAGATGGGCACAGGAAAGAGCAGCTCCATGATCTATAGGACTGTTCACATTAGGGGAGAGGATTCCAGATTCCATTGGAAGAAAGGGTGTCAGGAGTCCAGCGTTTTCATGAAAAGAATAACTTGATAAGAAGGAAAGGAGAATGGGGGGAGGAAAACTGCAGAGAGTGGAGAGAAGGAAAACAGGAGAAGTGAATAAGAACTAAAATTAGATAGAAAGAAGGCCAAATTTGGAGAAATGGGAGAAAAATTAATCTGGAAATGTTTGCAAATCTTTTTGGGTCAGTATTTGGTTAAAGGTAGAGGAGGTTTGAGTGGAAGGGAATGTTTAAAAAACAAAGGCAAGAAATGACAAAATCCAAACACCCTAAAGAAGGAAAAGAGAGATAAGAATGGAGTTGAAATCTGCTGTGTAGAGATCAAAAACAGAAAACTCTTAGATGCACTGAGGTGGAGCATAGGAGAAAATGCTACTTGCATATTAGAGTCTTCATAGCAAAGAATATGACTTCCTCTGTGAATGGAGTGCACTAAACATTTTGGGTGCTACTAAAATACAAATAAAAAATAAGAAATGAGGCTGTGTCCCCCGCTTTTTGGTTTTGTAAATAGGCAGTGAGCGTACCCTGAACTTCCACGAGCACTCTATGGGAGTGCCAAATTCGCAACACGTGCTCCTAGTGGGGTTTTTTTTTCAGTACAGGCAGTCCCCGGGTTACATGGATCCGACTTACATCGGATCCCTACTTACAAACGGGGTGAGGCAACCCCGCACTAGCTGCTTCCCCCCAGCAGACCAGGGAGACGTGAAGCTAGCGCTCCGCCCCCAGGAGACCAGGGAGACGCGGAGTGGCTTTTCTCAGCAGATACCTCAGCTTGAGAATAAAGGACTGAGGGAAGTGAGGTGTGGGAGAATAAAACTGAGCTCTGAAGAAATGTTTGGCTAGAGTTTCCCCTACAATATGTACCAGTTCCGACTTACATACAAATTCAACTTAAGAACAAACATACAGTCCCTATCTTGTACGTAACCCGGGGACTGCCTGTAGTTATATTTGAGATCAGACTGCCATTCTAAAGGCTTGATGCAAAGTACAGTGAAGTCAGTGGAAAGATTCCTATTGACTGCAGTTGGTTATATGTCTATATATTATGTGGCTTAGAAAACCTCAACACGGCTCCCTTTTGAGTTAACATTTTTCTTCTTGTTCACAGATAGGGTTGAATCACTTCTGGAAAGTTTGAAGACAATTCATTCTACTGTTTTGGAAGACCAGACATTCAGATAAATGCAGGTGTGTTTTTTTTTTTAAACAAAATACTTATGGAAGCTATATTCTTTTGGTTTTCATTTGTAATGGAATTAGATGTCAGAAGAAGCATTCATTTAGAAACCCCCCTGTACAACAAAGCTTGGATTCTGTGTCCGCCTGACTCCACTATTCATGTTTCCTTCCAAAGAGTGTTTATAATACAATAAGGAGTAGCACCTTGTATCCAGTTCACATATGTAGCACATTTCAGTCTTAAGGACATTGCATTAAAACTGTATAGTGCTAATTATATGTTTTGAGGGGTGAATAAAAGCAAATGCTCGTCTTGGTATGGCACATCAAGTATGAGAAGAAGAAAAATGTGTTCAGTGATTTAGTTCTAGCTTTGGGCTTGTAAGAGAGGGGCCACGTAATTTTGGTTCAGAGTCATGGGCCAGCTCCACCCCCTGCCTCAAACGGTGAAGCCTGGGGCCCTTTAAATAGCTGCAGAAACCCTGGGCAGCAGTGATCAATGCGGTAGTGGCAGGACTGTGAGCTTCAAGCCCTTTAAATATCAGCCCCTTTGCTACCTGTGCTGTAATTGGCAGCCATCTGGGGGTTGCTGCAGCTATTTAAAGGGCTCATGGCTCTGGCCCCTCTCAGGGTAACATTGTGACTGGGAGCCATGAGCCATTTAAATGGAATCCTGCTGTCTGAGCCACTGCCTGGGAATTCGGTGGCACAGGCAGCAAGGTATTAATAGAAAGCGGTTGGATGCTGTCCATGGGCTGGATCAAAGTTTTAGGCGGGCCAGATTGGGCCCCCAGCCCACATCTTGCCCAGCCCTGCTCTAGATGCTTTTAATATTCTTGGCTGAAAAAGCAAATTAGTGAATTTCTTTTAACACATCTAAAAATTAATCTATGTAGGGTTTTTTTTTTAGCCTGTGGGTTGTCATCTCATGGTGTATTATCAAAGTTAATTGGGAATGGAGGCATTGCAAGACATTGAAAATTTTATTACAGTTCTAAAGCAAAGAAAATAAAATTCAATAATAATTTTGTGGTGGCCAAAACTTAAATGTGGGGGACAGGGTTGTGTGGGGCAGGAGCATTGCTACCATTGACATATTATTTTGCTTTTACTTGCATTTTAATAAGGGATCATCAGACTGAAAAAGCCTGAGAAACTATAATTATATTCAGAAGCCTACTTAAGTGAAGAGTTACTGAAATAATTTTCACTTGTTGGACCTGAACAAAAACCCCGGCTTGAGCCCTGAATGTGGCTTTGGCTTTGAGTGAAATATCAAACTTGTCATCACATTTTTTTTTCTGTGAATTTGTTTCCTCTCTGAATGCAGTATCTAAATGTAAAAGAGGATTGCAAAGCCATGGCTTTCTGTGCAAAACTGAGAAACTCAAAAAAAAGTGAAGTGACCACAGAAGCACGAGAGCAGGGATTGGAAATCGTATTCTATTTGCAAGAGAAGCCTCCCATTTGGTATACCAGTGGCGAGTACACAGCAGAAGACCTGTGTATTGAAGCTGCCCAGAAGTGCGGTGAGTGTTGCAGGAGACAGCTATGTTCTGAATTACATTTTGTCTTTGTATCCTAAATAAATCCATCCCTTTCTGGTCATGCAAAATGCTGACGGGGTAGGTTCTGGGGTAGAAAACTGTAAGAGTCCTTTTGGAGAATTCTTTCTATATTTCATGGGGAGAAGGAGGAATGAGACTTTCCTCTGCAGAAGAACTTCTCCTTCTCTCCCTACAATTGCAAAAAGCCATGAGCCTCCACTCCAGCACTGACACTTCATTTTTTCCAGTGACTTTTATGTGAGCAGGATTAGGCTGTCTTTCAAGATGTGTCTTAGTCTATAGTTAAATGAAGCTGTTCTCACTGCAGCATACCAGTTGGCAAATGTATTAAGAAACCCTTTCTGCAGGACCATAGGAGATAGATTCAGAAGATGGCAATTGGACTACCTGGCAAAATAATGATTCCCTACTCTCCCTGATACTTATGTAAGCGGGGGAATGGTCCCGCTATTGTGGGGAACTTTCCTGGCTTCTATACACCCCGGTGAAATGAACCAGCGAAAGGATCTGAGTCCCCGCTCCCACTTCCTTTACCCCACGGCTCCCTGATCCTGAGGGCTCCCCCTCCACTCTCCTGAGTAGCAGAGCCCTGGAAACCCCAACAAGGCTGGGCCCAGGTTTCCTGGGGCTTAATCCCTGACCTTGTAGTCACTAGGGGCAGGAGTTAGGGTGTCCCCACTCCAAGGTGCTCTCTTTACACTGCAGGCCTTCTTGGCCCAGTGATCACTTCATAAGGTTCAAAGCAAATACAATTTATTAAACATCAACTGATTAAAGAGAATAGAATAAGAAACAATGAGAATGGTTAAATGAGAACACACAGCCCTGCTCTGTAGCACAGGGACATCAACACAGCAGTCTGCAGAGTGTAAGGACAGTTCACAGTCTCTTCCTTAGAAGCCCTGGATGTGCTGCAAGGGGCTGCAGGCTGGACACGCTTGCACTGGCAGTGACCACACAGCCTCAGTCTCTAAGTGGCCAGACCCCTCTCCCAGTCCAGAGCCTTTCCCCACACTTTGCAGGTCCCAGTAGCTCACCACATCCAGCTGCAGGCTGTGCTGCTTGGCCAGTTCCAGCTCCTTGTGTTGTTTCTCTGTTCCTTTTGGCTTTCTGAGCACTGCCAGTCTGCTGCTCAACACAGGGTCTGCACTGCTTGGCCTGTCTGTGTCTGGTTCTGTCGCTGCAGGACTTCTTCTTGTACTCCTCTTTCAGATCTCTGTCTTTGCAGGACCTCTCCTGCACACAGCTCGCTCTGCTCTTTCAGCTCCCTGTTTGCTCAGAGAGAGAGCCAGAACAATCCCCACTTACAACCTGTCAGTCAGGCTGAGCTGGAGTGTTGACTGCTTTCCATTGTCTCTGGGGTCTGTCAGTCTCATGAACCCTTCCCCTTCTGAAGCTGGTAAACCAAAAACTCCCACAGACTTTTAGTAAGGGGTAACCGTCCCCTTACACTTATCTAATCGTGCTACTTGTTTTTCCCCACTCTCATTTCTTGCTTTCAATATATTGTCACTGGTGTGTACAGTACTAGTATATTGTAAAGTGAGATGAGAATTAAACACAATTCAACTTGCATGGAAATTTAGAACAAAAGTGCATCAGCAACATCCGTTTGTTCAGTTCAGCAAAATACTGAAATGCACGAGTAAGCCACAGAAGTCAATGAAATTTAAGCCCGAGTTTTAGTGCTTTCCTATGTAACTAGGGCCTGATTATCTTTTTTGCTTACACTGGTTTTAAACTCTATCTCCAGCTCAGTTACTTCTGATGTATTTGATATGAGGTAGGGATGTAAACAAGTAGTTGACCAACTGACAAGCCAAGGCTTATTGGTTAGCTGAATCAACTACTTGCACCCCCTCCCCCATTGCTGCCTCAGTATCAGAGGCAGCAAGGAAGTGGCGAGCTGGCTTAAAAGCCAGTTCCCCGCAGCACAGTCTCTGTGGTGCTGCCTACCCGCCCTCCTGCCTCTATCAGGGGCAGCAGTGCGTGGGGGCTGCCGTGAAGCAGCCTCTGCCGAAGGCGAGCCCAGGCTTGCTGTGGGCCCTGTCTGCAGAGGATCCTGGCTCTTGGCACACTTAAACTGCTGAGCTGCAGTGGGGGTAGTTCCTGGACCCAGCATAAGCTGGGACTGAGCGCTTCTTATAATTAGGTAGTCAATAAAAATTCTATCTACTACACGATTAGTGAATTATTTGCCTCTTAACATTCTTGATACAAAGGGAGATGCAGATCTTTTGATCAGGTGTTTGTTTATGACTATGTACTGAAGATTTAAAATAAAGTTTAGTTTTCCACTCCCTCAATGGGTTGCAACATCAAGTGATCACCCAGTTACCCTACCCTTTCTTCAGTGTGAAGTAGGGGAAATCTCATGGTCAAATTTCATTCAATACACATTCAAGTTGGCTGCTAATGAAAACCATTTATGATAAATTACAGCAAATATTAAATGCATCTATTATTTGTTAACAGTTTAAAAATTGTCAAATGCCTATCTCTGTATTTATACTAACACATACACTGTCCATTGCCAGTCAGTTCTGAAGTCTAATTTCTAACCACATCTAGTTAGATGATTAGATTTTGCAACTCTTCAAAGCGTGACTGATGGAGCTAGGCTTATACGAGACACCTGATTGATAGGTCCAAAAATCTTGTATGTTTCAATTTCTTTTTGCTGTTGTCGGCTTGTCATTTTGTGAAATGCTAGATTTTCACTAAGGCCCTGAAATTAGTCTGTTGTAAATGACTTTCTTATGGTGATATGCCATGTATACCTGTCCTCTGCCGCTAGATTGAGAGAACAAGTATCCTGCCCTGCATTATATCATTGTACAGTTAATATAGCATTTATTTTCCTCAACATTTTTGGAGTTAAGAATACATTTATTTGAGAATGGATTCAGTAAAAACTGAGCGAGAAGCTGAGGGTTTGCATCAATTCAGGAGTGTGTCCTAAATAGAGATGCTTTCCTGATGTACAGAGGGCCTCTGTGAGGTACATGCTGTGGATAGTGCTCTCCTTTTATTGACAAGGAAACCCAAAAGAGAAATTAGATGGCTTCATCCCGTATGGAGACAACTGTAATCTGTTTTGTTGTATTTTAAGGTGGGGTTTGGTCATCATTCAAAATAAATCACCTGTAGTGTTTTGTTGGAAAAGTCTGTTGTGGATTAGTAAACTCAAATGGGACAGTGACATCATTTGTTTTCCAATTTTAACTGAAGGAGAAGGGGTTTTTTTGCTTTTAACAAAACAAACCTAAGAATCAAGTCACAGAATTTTGGACAGTTTTAGTGGTACATATCTCTCCTGTGAGCTGTGAAAAGGGCAGCTCGGGTTTCAGTTTGTGAGTTCATTTTTTTTTTCTTTTTAATAGCTGTATCTCCATTGTGCCACAATCTCTTTGCGCTATTTGAGGAGAGTAGAAAACTCTGGTATGCACCGAACCATGTTTTCAAAATAGATGACAAGACAGCCCTCCGACTCTATTATCGCATGAGGTATGTTGGGTACAACCGAAAGATGGATTATTTCTAGAATCCAGTGTATGTTTTTTCAAGAATTGTGTGGCTAGTGTAACACTTAGAGCTGAACTCAGTTTAAAGAAGCAAAAACCCTTTATTAACATGAAAGGTGAAAAGGTCTTCAGAATATATGCATTTGCTATATCACCTTAAAACAACCCCAAACCACAAAAGCTGTAACTAACTGGACTAACTAAAGAGTCACAGTGCAAATGGCTGAGAACTATTGTCTAATCATAATAGTCTCTATTTCTTTAGCAGTTTCCATGTGTGCAACCATTAGTGAATTTAACTTCACAAAATATCCCTGAGAGATAGGCAAATCCTGTTGTTTATTCCTATTGTACACATTGGAGACTTGAAAGCACTAAACAGTGAAGAGCCCAATTTTGTGTCTCCCCCTCCACAGGGTGGGATTTCCAGAATTGTTCAGCATTGGCTTAGTTTGGCTCCCATTGGATTCCCATCAACTTAAATGAGAGCATTCCAGAAAAACCTTGATTTTTTTCGGGAAATAGGAACTCAGGGCAGTTTCTGCCAATAGTGTTCTGTTATACTTCTGGGTAGTTGTTTCTTCTTTTTAAAGAAGTGCTTAATTTATATTTATTTGTATCATATTACAGATAGGAAAAATGCAATTGTGGGAATTTTAATCACTGAGTCAAAGTATAATATTTTTAACTAACCACATTACACGAGTCTGTTCCTAATTCTTAAAAAAAAAAAAAAAAAAAAACTTCGTCATATAATCAGATTATATTTGTATGTTTCTACTTTAATAAGCCAGTGGTGAAAATTCCCAGAATTTTATAATTATTCCTGTTATATAGAATTGAGGTTGCTTGGAAGCTTCCATTGGAAGACCCTGTTTTAAGTTGCTTGTAGCTTTGCCAGACTTTAAGGTACCATATTTTCCGGCGTATAAGGCGACTGGGCGTATAAGACGACCCCCTAATTTTCTAGTTAAAAGATAGGTTTTTGTCTTATACTCGCCGTATAAGACTACCCCCCCTTAAGAGGCCAACTGGCAGCGCCCCAGCGCCCCTCCACCTCTCCGGCTTTGCTCCCGGTGTCCCTGGTCTGCTGGAGACGGTCCCCGGCAGACCAGGGACACCGGGAGCAAAGCCTCTGAGGATGCTGGCAGGGGGACAGCCGCGGCGCGGCTGGAGGATCGTGCCAGTCTTGCAAGTAGGAATAAGAGATCCTCCGGAAAAGGGCTGCCCGGCTGCCCGAGCCCCTCCGCAGCTTTGCTCCGCGTCTTCCTGGTCTACAGACCAGGGAGACGCGGAGCAGCTTTTCTCGCCCCGGAGTACACGGGCGGCGGGACTGCGAGGTCCCGCAGTCTGTGTCCTCTGGGGCGAGAAAAGCCCCGTTCGTACCTGCAAGTCGGGGACTGCCTGTATACCCGGCGTATACGACGACCCCCGATTTTTGGGCGATGTTTTTTAGCATAAAAAGTCGTCTTATACGCCGGAAAATACGGTATTTGTGCTGAAATTTTCCATGCCAAACGTGTACCTCAGGCTGTTTTTAATTTCAGCCAAAATTGTTCCACCATTCCTGTTTTTTTCCCACTTGAAGGTACTTTGCACATTTTGAACATTTTAAATTAATAATCCATAATAAGTAGTTCCTTTGAGTATTTTTGTGAATAGTTTTTAGCTTTGTTCCACTGCTTGATTTACTGAGACTGTGCACTAGCTTTTTTCACCAAAAGAAACTCTTACCTTTATTTTAATGTAGCTTTATGCATATGGCCTTCTCTTCTGTACGTGCAGTAGCTATTGTAGTTTTCCATGTTCATTTGACCTTTAAATACATTAAGGTATCGAATCTTACCTCATTTCAACCACAAAATAACATTTTGAGGTCACTTATCACATGGGTTTAGACAGACAAATGCTGTTTAAGATTCTAAAGGTTGTGAAGGGTTTGCAGAAGTTATACTTAACTGAAAAAGTTAATATGGATTTTTAAAATGATCATATAAACTGAGGTGGTTTTAGAGGAGCTTGAGGTTGAGGGAGGAAAGGCAAAGAGAGGGAGGTACACCACTCTCATTCAAGTACAGCGGATTTAAATACCTCATTCTTTTCAGCTTCTTTGAAGATTTCAGCCTGAAGATAATTATTATTAGTAATATTTCAGCAGGCTATGAAGTTTATTTCCAATATATTTTGTAAATTGACTGCATCCCTTTAAAAATGAATTATTCAGATTTGTCTTGCTCCTTCAATTCTGGCCTTATTTTTAGTAGCCATATTTTCATGAGTGCCAAGAGCTGGAGTTTTAGGGGTTGGAATCCTCAGAAATGCCAAGATATCGTGATTAAAAACTAGTCCTTGTTCAAGCAAATCTTTAGATAATAGATTAAACAATGTTAAAATTGGCCTGTGTTCATGTGGCTAGCTGCACGAGGAGGAGACAGAATAGTGACTCAGGCTATCGTGATGGCTATAATACCTACCCAGGCATAGCATGAATACTATATGAAAGTCAAAACTACTAGAGTTTAATAATATCACTTTTCATTGGACCATTTGACTGGCATCCTGTTTTTGGCAGTGGTCCAGGATTTGGGACCAATGTATATTTTTACATAAGAGTAGAAAGGTGAAGAATATTAACTTACTGCTAGACTTTTATTTTAAACAGTTCAGAATAGATACCCAAAATATACTGAGGCTCCCCATAATTTTTAAGATTCATTACTCTTTTTCGTAAGGTTTTATTTTACAAACTGGCATGGGACAAGTGAAAACGAGCCATCAGTCTGGAGGCATTCTCCAAAAAAACCAAAGAATTCCTATGAGAAGAAATTAGTGCCATATGGAGCTCCTATCCTTGACACATCTCCAAAGAAACAAAAGAATTCTTATGAGAAGAAACTAGTGCCAGATGGAACCCCTATCCTTGATGCAAATTCATTAGAATATCTCTTTGCACAGGTAAGATATTATATTTTAAAAACTCAAAACTTTAGCCATTTCTTCTGGGGTTGGAATACAGGCAGTCCCCGAGTTACGCGGATCCGACTTATGTCGGATCCTCAGTTACGAACGGGGCCGTTCCTCTCCCTGGTCTCTAGCAGACCAGGGAGAGGAAGCAAAGCGGCGGAACACGTGGGCAGCGGACAGGGCTGTCCGCTGCCCACACGCTCCGAGGCTTGGCTCTGCTTTGCCCCCGTCCCCCCGTCCCCCTGGTCTGCAGACCAGTGGGATGGGGAGCAAAGCAGAGCAAAGCCATGGAGCCCGAGGGCAGCAGGACAGCCACGGCGCGTCTGGGCTGTCCCGCTGCCCCCGTGCTCTGCGGCT